TACCCTGGCCTTGGGGAAGACCAGGACTCCACACAGGGGCCATTAAAGGTCAAGAAGAAAGTGTAGGCCCCTCGTGTAATCGCCACAACAACAACAAAAAAACCCAGCAACTTCTACACATGAGGAAATCCCCTGTTTTCTGACCCTTAAAACTGTCGATCTTTAGTCTTTTTCAGGTTCCTCCTCCACTGACATCTCAGGTTGACCAAGGTGATGAAAAATAGGATGTTTGTTTATTTCTTTAGAAATCTGTCCTCACTCTGCCACCCCATCAAATGTTACTGTCTAGTAGTATTGAAACATAATATGAGGATTTTATAAAACGGGGATTAAAATGACAAATCGGCTATCGGTGATGACATACAAGGTGGTCAGCGGACACTTTCCCATTAGAAAATAGGTAGAAGGTCTCTCTCTGACCACTACACTCCAACCTCATCTTTTCTCTCCATCTGCTGAGCAGCCACAGGCTGCTTCCGTGGGGTGGTAGGAGTAGGAGGGACCGTGCAAACCAAAGTGCACGCACGTCATCCACACGTGACCTTACGGCATTTCCCCCATGGGCCGTTTTTGATCTCTGAGTCCAGCGGACTATTGTGACATTTGTCAAGGTTTTCAATCAGTTGGACAGCACACTCGTGGGTGAGTAAGACACACTCGCCATTGCCCAAAGTGCAATTTAAAGTAACTTCTTCTTTAATGCTCTGGAAAAATTATCAATCAAACATTTTTTTTAGATTCCAGAGCAAAAAGAGTAGCGTTTATATCTCAAATGGAGAACCCATTCCTTCTTCCATTCACTCACTCATTGGCAACCTATTCTGAGTGCTGTCCTGGGTCAGGTTCCCTGGGAAACAGGGGCTGAGAGAGAAATCTGTGCACAAAAGTTTATAGGTGAGTGTTCTTGGTGACAAGAAGGAAGCAAGATGGGGTAGAAAGGGCTGGGCTGGCCTGAGATGCAGTCACAACAAGGATCCCAGCTGACCTGGTCCCCTGGGGAGCTCTGGAGCTGGAGCCTGTCCCTTCAGAGATGCTCTTGCATCTTGAGGCACGGGGACAGGACCTTTAGACACCCTAATGGGTGCCCCATGGAGGAGGTGTGACCTTGGGTGAGCTGGTTTTTTCCCACTAGGGCAGCCCCCAGAGAGGGACGCAGCTGACATGCCCCATCCTTCCAAATGCTGGGGGACGCAGTGCTTCTGTGCCGAAGAGGGAATCTGGTGGCCCATCAGAAAATACACCCCAAGCGCCAACTAAGGACCGACATTTAACATTTAATTAACTCCCCCTGCTAACCTGAAATCTTCCCTTTGAATTAGATTATCACAAAAAGCGATTGTGGGAACACACCAGATCCCCTTTGAAGTTATTCTACAACCGATTCAATTTAATAAACAATTATTAAAAACTGTACTGTGGGAAATACCCCGCAGGCCCATCTACAGGTGAGTGGGTAAACAAACTGTGTGGCATATTCCAGTAATGAAATACTCCTCAGCAACAAAGAGCAATGAATTCCTGACACGCACTACATCATGGAGGTCATTATAAATATTTATGCTGAATGAAAGAAGGCAAAGAAGAAAAGTACATACTGTATAATTCATATGAAACTCTAGAAAACGAAAACTGATGCTTAGGGATGGGAAGCAGATCAGAGGCTACTGGAGAGGGAAGGTGGGGAGGAGTGAGAGGGAGGGTTATGACAGGCAGGTGGAAATTTGGGAAGTGATGGATATCATCTTAGTACATTCAGGCTGCTATAACAAAACATTTTAGACTGGGTAATAAACAGACGGAATAATATATTGCTTATAGCTCTGGAGGCTGGGAAGTCCAAGATCAAGGCACCAGCAGATTTGACACCTGGTAAGGACCCTTTCCTCATAGATGGTGTCTTTCTGCTGTGTCCTCACATGGTAGAAGGGCAGGGACTAACAAGCTCCCTCCAGCCACTTTTATAAGGGCACAAATCCCATTCACGAGGGCAGAATCCTCATGGCCTAATCACCTGCCACAGGCCCTATCTCTTAATACTATCCCATTGAGGACTAAGCTTCAACATATGAATTTTGGGAAGACACAAATATTCAGATCATAGCACATATGTTCGCTATCTTGTTTGTGATGATGATTTCATGGGTATATGCATATGACAAAATTTATCACATCAAACACTGTATTTATTTTTTAAAGACAAAGTCTCACTATGTTACCCAGGCTGGTCTCAAACTCCTGGCCTCAAGCAATCCTCCCACCTCAGCTTCCCAAAGTTGCCGGGATTATAAGTGTGAGCCGCCACGCCTGGCCAATAAAGATACTTAAAATCAACTATACTATAAAAAGGTCTGTGCCAGGCCTTGGAACTACTAGAGAAATATGAAGCAAACTCTGCTTCCCGAGAGCTCAGAATCTAGCAAGGGAAACAAATGGATATTCAACTAAATATAATATAAGTTAGAATAAAAACTGATATAATAAAAAGAAAGAAACTATTATAGGAGCACAGAAAAGGAGGGAATTGATTTTTCTGGGAGCATAGAGGATAGTGACAGCTAACTTTTTTATGTTATTTACCATGTACTAGACACTAAATATATTAGATCCTTTAGTATTCACAACTACCACATGAGTGGGTGCTGTCATTATGCCCATTTAACAGGTGAGAAAACTAAGACTTTGAATTCAGAGAGACTGGTTCTAAAGTCCATGCTCTTGATCAGTAGTTACTGTTCCTCTGTGAGAAGTGCCACATTTGATCTGGGCCTTGGAAGATGGATCAAATCTTCCAGAGAAAAAAGGCCATTTTAGACAGAGAAAGCAGTGTGAACTATGATTATGAAAATGTACTGTATGCTGGAAAAATGACAATTTTCTATGGGTATATTTGGGGGAGTGGTGGACAAGGAGTTTGGAAATGTAGATTGGAGTGAGGGCGTGAATGGTCTTGAATGATTTGCTAAAGAGTTTGGTCTATGATCTTCATGGAATAGGGAACCACTGAAAGTTTTTGAGCCGAAAAATAACATAATCAGGTTTGTGTCTTAGTAAGAGAATGGAAAGGAAAGAGACCTTACGCTCACTTGCCCCGGGTGTTATTAAGGGAGTAGGGGACCAGGCACAAAAATAAAGCATCACTCCAAAGTAAAGACAAGACATTAGCAGGAAAATCAAATGCTTAGACACCCATCATGCCTTAAATATAAAAATTAGAAGTCCCTGGAAGGAATCTCATGGACAAAGGGGGGAAAAAGATATGTATGTATATGTGTGTGTATATATGCATGTGTGTATATACGTATATGTAATGTATGTATATATGTGTGTGTACACACACACACACACACGCACTTAAAAATCTTGGGCTGTAGGCCAGGCGAGGTGGCTCACGCCTGTAATCCTAGCACTCTGGGAGGCCGAGGCGGGTGGATTGCTCGAGGTCAGGAGTTCAAAACCAGCCTGAGCAAGAGCAAGACCCCGTCTCTACTATAAATAGAAAGAAATTAATTGGCCAACTAATACATATAGAAAAAATTAGCCGGGCATGGTGGCAAATGCCTGTAGTCCCAGCTACTCGGGAGGCTGAGGCAGCAGGATCGCTTGAGCCCAGGAGTTTGAGGTTGCTGTGAGCTAGGCTGACGCCACGGCACTCACTCTAGCCTGGGCAACAAAAAAAAAAAAAAAAAAATCTTGGGCTGTATTCTCAGTTTTACCACTGACTCACAATATCACTTGAGGCAAATTTTTTAATTCTTCATTTTTAATTCTTCATTTTTCAAAAGGGACGATGCAGTTTACTCATTCTTTGCCTTATGATGCCTCGACTGCTTGTTAAGCACACAGGTGGCTTCCATTCCAGAAAGAATTCGGCTTAATCTACCCGGGTGGACCCTGGTAATCTGTGTTTCTTAGCTAAAAGCCCAAGGCATTCATGTCATTGTACAATTTGAGAGAGATTATATCCTGCTAAGCTCTCTAAGGTAGCCCTACTTTCTCTCCTCTCTTTTCTTTTCATTCTCTTTCTACCTGTTAAGCTAGATAAAACATTTGAAAGATACTTCTGATGAGTAAGGTTTTCCCTACCCAAACTGTCAACAAATCTACAGAATATTAAAACTAATTTCAATTAGAACCCATAAGTAGTATTTTCTTTATAATTTTCCAAACATTGCGGACTGAACTCTATCTTCTAAACATAAGTCTAGTAGTATTATATTTTGCTATATGTGTCCCTGGAAAAATGAAATAAAGTCTATCTCAATTTGCCCAATTAATGAAAAAATTAAACACCGAAGTTATTCATTTGAATATTATTTCCCCCCAAAATCATATTCTCCTAAAAGACAAAGAATTTATATTTCATATCTGACCATGTCTTAGGACAGTGCATAGTAGATGCTGGATAGGTGGAGAGGTATGAGTGGATGGATGGATGGAAGGAAGGATAAATGAATGGATGGATGAACAGGTGAGTAGGTGGATGGATGGATGGATGGATGGATGGATGGATGGATGGATGGATGAACAGGTGAGTAGGTGGATGGATGGATGGGTAGATAGATATACAGATTTCAAGAATGAGTAAATATGTGAATGAATAAATTCATCCCCTGGTAACCATTCGAAATTGTTACCAGAGTTAAAATATAAAATATTCCCAAGAGTTGAGCAAAATTGTCTAATTATAATTATCCAGTAAACTAGAAAAGTAAAAATAAGGGTGGCCTCATTGCACGGGGACATTTTAGTTTCCCTCCCACCCTTCCTCTCCCCCAAAGCTTTGCAGCTAGTCAACTTACCAGCACTACCCACTTGTGGTAGAACAATTTTTGCCACTAACACATCACTCACACTTCTCCACAATCAAGATGTCACTTGTGGTCCCTGAAATGTTCCAGCAGGAGGTGTTTTGGGGGCAGCTATGTAAAAGGGGGCTCCCAGACAGATGGAGGAGTTGATATACGTGAGGTCACAAAGCTACTGCCTCTCTCCCTTCAAAAGAAACTTCACAGCTCCATTTATTTCAGTACCTGGAGGAAGTCGACGAAGTGCTCGAAGTGCTACAGCGGTACAGTGCAATATGTGGTGGAGAGTTTTCAGTTTGCTGGCTTGGTTCCCCTTGCAAGGTAAGGACTTAGAGTGGATGTTTTTATGTTGCTCAGCTGACCTAATGTTTTGCCAGTTTTACCCAGCAGTCAGTCAACCGCATTTGCAGAGGATCCAGGTAACAACCAGGTAACTTTGCTAACACTTTTCAAGCCATGCTCAAATCACACATCTGAAGGACATTGCCTCCTTTATGTAATCTCTTGTTCAGATCAGAAAGGATCATTATAATGTGTGTCTCTGTGGAATCTATGTTATAACAAAATGTAACAAGCTTATTAGGCTCTGTCTTTTAAGGATATACCAGTTGAAAGAGTGTCAGTTTTGGATTTAAAAATTTCCTTGCTGTATAAATCTTAGGCAAATCATTTAATTTCTCTGGAACTATTTCTAAATCTTCAAACCAAGATGATAGAAACATTTGATCTACCCAACTCCCTGGATTGTTATAAGGATCAAATTTCAAACGTGAAAATTGGAAACGTGAAAATTCACTTTGCAAATGGTAAAACGCTATACAACTCTTTATTCAAAGTTCAGAGATAATAATGAGACCAATGAAAACTTGGCACTTATTTTTAAAGAGCCAGTTATACTTTATATTTTACTATAATTTTCAAATTTTGTTTTTGATGCTTAATTCTAATGTAGCATTATGAAAATTAAAGAAAGATGCAGTTAGTGCAGGTGAAATACTTTGTACCCCAAAGTGGTGGCAGGTGTGTAGGAAAATGGCTCCTGGGGTCCCTAAGTCTCTGATTGCAACTTGTCTCACATTCATGCAAAGGAAATCACTCATAACTCCCTTGCTTGCTTGCTTTTTGTGTGCCCGTTTGTTTCCAAATATAGAATCTGTAGTTCTGTTTCATGAAATGCACCTATCCTTCTAATTCTGCATTCACTGCAGAACAGCATCCGAAGGATGCTCTTTCTAAAATCTAGATTTCCTATTTTACATAGTACTTCATTTCTCTATTTTATACACTTTAATTAGTGCCTTCTTTTTTGGTCCCTGTACCCTGAGGCACTTAACAAGGATCCAATTTTGGTAATGAATAATATTAGTTTCTTCAATAAGTGGCTTAAAGAATAGCTAATACATTCAGAAAGAGTGCATTTAGATAGCTAAAATTAGAATGATTTCAATTATTCCAAAGTTAAAGCTTTTAACTGACCTTAACTTTTTCAAGCTTCTAGCTATTGCCTCCAAAAAGATACCTTCTAAAGATAAGTTTTTAAATAAGTAGCAAAAATCATGTCTTAAGTAAACCTAAGACAAGTCTTCTAAAATATAAATTATTTAAATACTATTTATATATATGGAGAAAAATATTTTTTGTGCCATGCACAGTGCTGGGCACTTTTTGCTAATTACATTTCACCCTAGCAAAAATACTGAGGTAGGTGTTGGCATCCCAATTTACAGATGAGAAAATTGAGGTTAAAATAAGTTAGGTAACCTGTCCCAGTTTTCATGGCTAGTAAATGGCTGGCAACCTGAGAAGCACATAGTAAAACTATTATCCATGAAATTTTCAATTAACCTGTGTGTGTGCACTGTGTATGTGTACTAGGTTGTGATGGAAAATGTGTTTCTTTTCTTTGTATCATTTTATTTATTTATTTTTATTTCAATAGATTTAGGGGGTGCGAGTGGGTTTTGTTACATAGATGAATTGTATAGTGAAGTCAGGGCTTTTAGTGTACCCATCACCCGAACAGTGTGCATTGTACCCAATAGGTAGTTTTTGATCACTCCCCGTCCCCTTTCCCCAGCTCCGAAGTCCCTTATATCATGCTCTGTGACCATGTACACCCATTGGTCAGCTCCCACTTGTAAGTGAGTACATGTGGTATTTGTTTTTCCATTCCTGTACTTCACTTGGGATTATGGCTTCCAGTTGTAATCAAATTTCTGTGAAAGGCATTATTTTATTCTTTTTATGGCTGAGTAGTATTTCATGGTGTGTATGTGTATGTATGTATATGTATGTGTGTGTGTGTGTATCTCACACAAAATGTGTTTCTTAATGTGACTTAAAAGTTTGAAAGCCACTTACTTGCACAATTTGGAAGACTGAATATTGAAAAATGCCAGTTTAAAAATTCATTCAAGGGACACCCAGAGGGCACCTACTCTCAGTGGCCCTTGAGCAATGATTGCTCACCTGATCTAAACTTGCTCAGGCCCAGCAGAGATCCAGATAGGAAAAGAGCTGACCATGTTGCTTTCTTGTCAACAAAAAGGCAGCAAATCGTCAATTTTGACAAAGGTATAAATTCTCAGCTGATTTTAGAAAATTAAATTATGAAAAGATCACTGTGACTAGTTCTACTGTGCAACTTCTATGGCTGTCAGAAATTGTATTAAAAAAAAGTCCCATAATCTCAGAGCCTGCCCTCTTGTCAAAGCTACTTCTGGAATAAAGAGTCCCCAGGATAGGTAAGACAATAAGGAAGAATTTTCCAAAATTCATCCCATTTACCTACAGTATAGATAACAGAAATGTCAAATCCATCAGATTTTAAGCCCTCAAACATTTTGGTTATTTAGTGGAGGGCAGGATGCAGAAAGCATAAGGGAAATTGCAAATTAAGTAGTTATTTTGATAACTTCTTTTGACCAGGAAAAAGTCATGTGTTTGATGACATGTTGTCGAGATAGCTTATTTAAGGCTATACTAAAAATAATTTAATTTTGACAAGTCTGACTGATTTTTACACCTACAATTGATTTTACACCTCTCTATTGATTCTATCTAAAAATAATAAAAATTCCTTTTTGTAATAATCTAAATTGAAGCACATTTTTGCTTAATACTTCATAACAGTCATGGAACTAGGGTTCTGGTTTGAGATATTAACTCGCTGAGTGTCTCTGGTTTTAATGTAGCTCTAGTCTTTATTATTCAATATAACAATTAAAAGCAAAGTTATCCTATTAAAATACTTATTCTTGAATATATACATTTACTAATTTTTATCTATTAATTCAACCAATATCTAAAATCTTACATTATGTTAAAATGAATGAATGGCAGACAACTTTTCCATGAGGAGTTTGTGATCTAGCCACAGAGACCCACTTGTAATCAAGTAATTATAAAATAATGGGCTAAGTGCTATAATAGAAGCATATTCCAAGTATTTGGGAATTTACAGGAAAGTAGCGTAAGTCACTGAGGGGACAGGGAGGCTAAGGCCTGGTTGGGAACTTTTGACAAAAGTGTAATTCGAGTTGAGTGAAATTGAGTCTTGAGTCTTTAAGTTGAGTCATAAAGGATATAAGGAAGGCATTCTAGGTCAAGAGAACAGCATAGACAAAGGTAAAGTATCTTCTGGAGCCTGGAACTTCCTGGGAACAGCAGGTGACCAGGTGCATGGACTACCTGGAAGGGAGTGTCAGCAGACGACACTGGAGGAGAACACAGGAGTCAAGTCATCTGGAATTTTGGCCAGATTCTTACAGACAATGGGAGCAATAGCAAAGAGTTTAATGAAGGAAGAGATATGATCAAATTTACGTCTGTAAAATGTAATTCCAGAAGCAGATGAGGATGAATTAGAAGAAAGAGAGACTAGAAGGAAGTTATTGCAATGGTCCAGCAAAGAAAAGATGACAGCCTCCACTAAGGCAGCAATAGTAATGAAAAAAGAGGAAGAAATTGATTAAAGAGATGTTTTGGAGAGAGGAGTCCAGGGCACCTCTCCAATATCTGGTAGGCGGTGGTTGGTGATGACATTAACTAATATAAGGAAACACTGGACGGAGCAGGTGGCTTGTCTATGTTAGACACTGGTAGAGCACAGGGGCAGTAGAGATAGTGAGTTTCTCCAGGACATGTGGAGTTTGGGGTCTTTGCAGGACAGACCTGCTCTGCTTCGGTTTTACATTTATTGCATGCAAAAATAGGGCTATTAAGGCAAGAAAAAGAAAGACTATTCTTTTTTCAGTCTACTATGATAACCTACAGTACAGGTAAAGATTATACATGGCAACTTCCAAAATCTTAGGAAAGAGCGGGTAACCTTAAGAATGGCAGTGGTTTTATCTACAGGTACTTTGGTAGGTGACTGACTGTGCCTGCTGCTTGCCCTTTTACGTGAGAGTCGGTCACATGGGCTTTGGTGTGAAGCTATCCCCTGACAGGACAAATATTAATAGTTCATGAGGTTGGGAGGATAGCAATGCTATTGAAGGTCACAGGCCCCATGGCCACATAGAAACCAGTCACAATCCATAGCCCCAGGTTCAGCTAGCGTTCTCATAACACATGGCCATGCATGGGTGGATGGATCCAGTCATGGAGATAATGACCAAGCCCAGAAGCCAATAATCGACTCAGTAAACGTGACCTGCCAGTAGGAAGTGGTGACCTCACACGCCGCAGTCATTCATTGTCAAGTTCTGTGTGCTCAGCATGTGTGCAGCCATGGAGGACTAATTTGCAATGCAAACTCTGAAGCCCAGACAGAGAGAACTAGCAAGCAGGCCTACAGCAGGCAGGGTCTAATAAGAAAGGTTAAAAGTGAATGAGCATATACACGTCTTAAGAGCCTATGGGGAGGAAGTGGTGAACACACCCTACTCCTCTGACAACCAAGGTGAAAGTCTGATCCCAAACTTAGGTGAAAAGAAAATTCAGAAGACAAGTTCCAATTTAGTTTCCAATGGCAAGGAGAAGATCGTGGAGAACTTTTCCTTAGAAAATGTACTGTCTAAACTTAGGTGCATCATCCTCCTCTTCCACCTTTTAACAAGACCTAGAAACACTGAAAAAAAATTTTTAAGCACTACAGTTGGAGTGAGGCTGGGTGGGTTTGTGGCTTCTCACCGGGGCTATTCTTGCCTTTACAATAATTTCCTGTTTCTAAGCCAAACGTGGGGTCGACATGATAATACTGCAAGAAAAATAGGCCTGTAAAGCCAAAAGCAAGGCTTGGAGCAGAGCGGAGGAAACTACTCTTTTATGCCTCAAACACAGCCTTTTCCACGCGAAAGTCACGATCTCTAGCGTGG